TCTTTTTTTTTTTAATTTGTTTAACATTTTTTTTTGGGTTGTTGTTGTTGGTATTTAAAGTAATGGAATGTGAAGCTTCAAAACATTTTTGGCTTCTATGCCTTACAGGAATAATGTGTGTAGAAATAAATAGTGCTACATACTTTTAAGCTGTTGCTGTGGATTCTACTCTTCGCTTCCCAGTTAAGTATGTGTGACGAGTAGAATTTCAAATACAGTTTGAGAGCCCGCATGATTTAATAGAGTTTGAAAGGTCGGTTAAAAAGCAGCCTTAGAATATTTGATTGTTACAAACATACACTATTAACAAATAAATTCTGAAATTTTTGGATCGAATTTGGATTGCCATTGCGACGCAATTTCCGGTGACCCCTCGGAAAGAAGATGCGCCCGCGTTGGCAGGATAACTCCTTAAAGGATCATCTAAAGTGAAAAAATACATGTTTCAGTTAAAACTTTAATAAGGGGAAAAAATTTAAAATTGGATTTTTGGCAGATATTTAAAAAAAATTAAAATTTCGATGAAAATTTCACGATTTTTTTTTTTTTTCAAATAGTTGTAATCCTTTGTCCAAGTAGTTAAGTAGTTTTCGAGAAATCTTGCCAACCGACTTGAAAAACACAGTTTCGAGAAAAATTTGTTTAAAGCCGGCGCACTTAGCCCAGCTAGCATCAAGCGCACATATTCTCAAGGCTGTATCTCCGGAACTATAACTCGATAGTATTTCAAAAGGAACCTCATCCTAACTATCGGTAAACAGGATTCGGAATTACGCTGTTTTCTTATATTTTACTACCGAATGGTTGAAGCCTATGTAAACGTGGTCAACTCTCAGCACCTATCGAGTCGCATAGGTGAACTCGTTGGTCTCAGCCAGGTTTGCTTTCTCTAATTGTGGGGAATTTAGCAATATCTTTGTAATATCAAGACTTTAGAACTCACACTTTCAGCCATATGAAGTATAGTGATCAAAAACATATATAAAGTCGATCTTCTATCTTTCCATATTCAGAAAATGTAAATTATCTTCCTTCCTGAAAGAAAATTAAGTTAACACTTCATGCTAATAATTTGGTGAACACGCATCGTTGGGACAATCCTGTAATACTATTCAAAACTATTTGCTTTCATTTCAATACCGATCCCCGTACAATCATTTTGATACTAACATACTAGAATTCATTTTATTATGCACCAGCGTTGCGGCTGTAATTTAATACACTTTACAACTTTTTTCCAAAGGCAATAGTAAACACTTTTGTCCTTCGGATATTTCTTTGAAATGCAGCCGTTTTCATTAATCACAAAATCGCTTTGCAAGCTGTGGATTTCTCCTTCACCCCTTCATTAGTTTTATACATTTGCAAGTTGCATGAATAATTGTATTTGTGCCACATAAAGCGACACTTAAACACCCACTTGCATTTATAAGGGTCACCTTTGCAGTGCGGCTTGGACTTTTTTGTGGAATGCTTGAAATTCAGTCGGCATTGGATTTTAATTAATTTACTTTCTACGTAAACAATAACAACTTGCAGTTGATGTTGCTGTTTTGGGTTGAAGAAAAGAAAAGTCAATAGAAATGGAAATATAACATATGACCCTGGGATGGTACATTCAATATTCAAAGTAGTAGCAAATGAAAAGATTGCTTTTAAAGTTGGTTAGCATACCCCTAGCATAAGGCAGCAAAGTGCTTTGAATCAATATAATATTTGTGATAACATAATTTATATAAATATAAAGGGTTATCCGTTTCGAAGTTCCCTAATTTTTTAAAGAAAAAACATAGAAATTTCAAATTTATTTAGGAATGTTTATTATCATTCGAAAGAAAATCGTTTGGCATCTTTTGTTTTTGAAGATTATCTCTTTCAAATGTTGGCCGTGGCTAAGTCGCAGAAAGTTCATCCGTTGAGTCCCCTGTCCAATGATTCATTCGAGCCTTTCGGTATTGGTGACTGGCGAATGGCGCTAGTGATGTTTTCCCCCAAGGCCTGAATCGATGCGGGAAACAGTCTTAACGGTGTGATATCTCACGATCTTGCTGCCTAATCCACCGGCCAAAAACGTGAAATTATCTGAAAATTTGAAACTGATGAAATGACAACACTTGAATCTCTTCAGGCTGCTCTTTGCGCCAAATGTGGGAATTTCGCTAGTTTATATACCCATTGAGCCAGAAATAAGCCTCATCGCTGAACAAAATTTGGCTCGAAAACGTCGGATCTTCTTGAAAATTTTCAAGGAAGGTTAAGTGGCTTTAGTTCTTGTACAAGCTGTATTTTGTACCCTTTAAATTTAAGATCTCGACCTTCCATACGTCAGTCCGGGATGCTAAAAACGTCGCCAAATCGACACTCCACGGTCTTTGTGTGCATTCTTAGCTACAGCTGCAATAAATTCTTCACTGTCCAAAAATGTAGGCTGGATCTCAATATGGGTGATAGTGTTGCGAGGAGTGCGCAACACATTCTTTAGAAATGCAAATTTTGAGTTCAACGAAAATTAAAATTGAAACTTTTCTCACCAATATTTTATAACAAATTACCACCAGTACAAATACCTTTGAATGCAATACATATTCATTCTCTGATTTCTCTTATTGAGTTTCTTCACCAGCAAATGAATGAAAACTTAAATGAAAATTATTAGATCGAAATAATTGCGCTTAAGTCTCCTTGAGTGTAGTTAATATGCGTGAAATTGCATTTTATTTGCTGCATAAATTCACTCATACAGACTCTTTCTCTCTTCAAACCAACTGACGCATAACGCCGTTAATGTGTTTGCAGTTTAAATGCATAAGTTATTTTTGACTCACACACACATACACATACACATAGACATTGGTACTTTAAAACCAATTGACCTACTTTTGACTTTATTTACTTTCAAGTACTTTCGATTATTTGCTATTTACATGTCGGTGCACAAATGCCTGCTACGATCTTGTTTCTCCCGCAATGAACATTTGCTACGTGTTTTCTTAGCTTCCAGGAATTTAAAATTAGGAGAAATGCACTTATTTGCAAGTTACGATGAATAAACAAAAACAAATTTACGAGCAACATGTTTAAGCAACATTTTTTCCTACAGATTAAATATCTAATATTTTCAGCCGAATATCTTTATATTTTTTTTATTATTTTTCACTCTACCGATTTCAAAAATAAAAATCTGATATTGGTGAGAATTTTTAATTGAAAAAGAGGAGTTATATCGATTTTGGATAGAAATAACACTTTCTTTTTGATATTTTAAATTTAAAAAAATAAAATGCTAGGCATATGAGCATTAGTCTAGAACAAATTTCATCTAAAAAAATATTGTACAAGACTAAAAAGATTCCAAAAACTTTACTTTTATTTTTTGCTGAGTTTTTCATATCAATTTTAAGGTTATGTGAAAAAGATGTATGTCCGGAAACCGACATAAATCATGTTTAACCTTTAAAAATTCAATTACTTAATCTTCGTCACCTCTGATCGCCGCTAAATTATCTTTATTTTCCTCAAGTTTATGTTATCTTTTGTTCTCAATGAGCTTTACACTTTTTTACGCTTTAAAAGAAATCCGCCCTTGTCTAAGAAGCTGAAATATTTTGTCAAATAAAAATTTTGTAAAATAGTTATGTGAGTTTAATTGGAAATCTTGACTCTTTTAGGCGCTAAACTTAATGCATAAGTATACTAACTCATGTTTATAATACTTCATAAATATAATAAATTATATATAAATTATATACTCTAACTTAAACTGGACTCACAACAGCACAATAGTCCATAGGCCTGATTTATTATGATAAAATGATGATTTTATTATGATAAAAATGTAACTATGAGTTTGTTTGAAATTTTGTGCTTCCCATACCATCACTGTTTAATAGAATCGGTAAAAATGCTGCAGCAGTATTTTTTGAAGTCTACTTTGTCACAATGTGAGTGACAGTATTCAATGCAGGTCGCGAAGTAATAAAAAAATATGCCTAAAGCGAGTCATCCAACCACCTTTGTTAATAACGACAACATCAAAAAGGTTGAAGTGCTGGATATGGTAGGAGTATGGATAGCACAGAGTTAGCAGTGGACTTTGGTTAATGTTTTGATAATGAATCGTTTCAATGTTAGACTCGTACCAAAAGAACTGAATTACTATATCATTCTATCCGAATTATGACTTGATCGATGATATTCACTGCGTTTTTGCTATAAGTTCGGTCACAATAGTGACTCGGTACGATGGTGCATTATAATCCCTTAAAATCCATGAATTGCTTTTCGACATTTTCGGTCGTTCGCGATAAATACTCTCATGCAAACGTCTTAATACGACCAAATA